CCCCAAAACCCCAAAACCCCAAAACCCCAAAACCCCAATCCTGAATGGTCAGATTGAGTTATGCATTTTAAGCGGTCTGAGAGTCAGCAAGCTCAAAACCAAAATATTTCTTCATATCTCTTTCCAAATTCCTGTTGTTGTCATCATGCCAGAAGAACATCCAGCTAATTTTATTGTAACAAGTTCATAGAAGGCTAAGTACCGGAATTTTAGAAGAGAAATCTAAAGTTTTTATTTTTTTAAAGGACTTACATTTTCTTTTACCAAAAATAAACTCCCAGTTTTGATCAAACCCAAGATCGTAAGTGAAATCTTCTGCATTTTTCCATTTCTCAAGACCAGTCTGACCTTTGATTCATCTGTTCATAACAATGCTAAGGATAAATATTTGAAGGAAGGCAACAAGCAAGATGATGTTAAACCAGAACAATATTGCTATATCGAAGACCGGGAAATTTTGAAATTTGAATTTTAATAAGAATGAGCCAATATTAAACATATGGTGAACAGCAAGTCCTTTTACCAAATAAAGATAGTATAAGCACAGAGTTGATCCATAGATAGAAAATCTGATAAAGTATCTGAGATTATTATATCCCACACAGTTATTGATGATCGCACAGTGATGGTCTAAGAAAGCAGATCACGTTCTACAGTTACTGCAATGATGAGCTCTGGGATACCTATAGATCTCACATTTCTTGCAGTAGAGTCCAAATTTGTAATTATCTTTAAATTCATCATAATCCTCTACAATTGGGTCGTATTTTACGTCCTTTTCATGAGCTTCACGATAACTTCTATGATCTTCATTCATCTTGATCAAATGTTTGAATGATTGTTGACTAAGTTTGACATTTTTTAGTGGCTCGCTAGCATGGGCACTTCCAAAGGCAGCTTTACAATAATTATACACAGTATGGATGATCATGAACCATCCAAACCCATACTCATACATAAGTGCATAAAAATGCTTCTCGAACCTTCCAGGATAGACATAATCAATGCCAATATTAGATGCGTGGAGATATGAGATCACCACGTACATGACGCCCATGATTCCTAAAAAGTTACCTGAGGATAGAAATTGTGCTAAATTTTTTACCGAATTCCCTAAAATTACCAAAGCATCTCTCCCAGTGAACCATTTTCTATATTTAAATTTAATTATTGAACACTCCAATGGGGTTTTGGGGTTTTGGGGTTTTGGGGCGA